TGACTGGCTAGATGTCAACAAGGATAGAAGTCAAACGCAAGCGTTCGACGGAGTGCCTAAAACAGTTGACGTCCGATTGGAGGACTACCTAGAAATTACGAGCTAGACCTCTGCAAGGATGTAAGTCAAACGCGGCTGGCGTTCGACCGGACGACTAGATTGAAAATGTCCGAAAGGAAGCGAGTCAAACGCAAGCGTTCGATAGAGGGCTTGAAATAGTCGACGTCCGATTGGATGACTAGCTGGAAATTACGAGCTAGATGTCCACAAGGATGCAAATCAAACGCAAGCGTTCGATAGGATGACTGGCTGGATGTCCATAAGGATAGAAGTCAAACGCAAGCGTTCGACGGAGCGCTTGAAAGAGTCGACCTCCGATTGGATGACTAGCTTGAAATTACGAGCTAGATGTCCAGAATGATGCAAGTCAAACACAAGTGTTCGATGATGCATTCAAGTTTTATGAATTCTCACGGGATGGGAAGAGCCACAAGAGTTTGCCACGGCCGTATACAAAGCAGTACAAACAACATCGATGACTATATTTGGAAATAATACGTGTGCTGGGACTTTTGAGACTTTGGCGACTTCGGCGACTTAGCAGGGAATTTGTTGTGAGACTTCAGAGCCTCGTGGAGTCGTGCAACCTCTAACTTCAGCGATGTCCGTTCACAATGCGAAAATACTATACTTAAATTACAGGCAAGCTCGTGCTCTACCAGGGAGAAATTTTTTGAGATCTATGGAAGTCGCAGAAGAGTCTCCCAAAGTCGCAGAAGTCGCAAGAGAAGATTCACGTTGAGTTACCGTTTATTGTTAAATTTGGCTTAACTCCGTATAATCAATCTGCATCGCATGCAAGCATAAAATTACATACCATACCATACAATTACTTGGTATGAAAGAGTGAACTTGCTGAAGTTCAATGGTGAAAATACGTAAAGAGTCCAAAGAATCCATGGATGCGGCGAAGGTTACGAAGGAATGGATGGTAATGGACAAATATCTAAGAATTTTCGATCGCCGTGAATGATCGGAGGCAAGTGGTTAACTGGTCTCTATCGATCAAGTCCCCTGGGCCAAATATACCCTGACTCCCGGCAGTCTGTTTGGGAGTACGATATAGCTTTTGTGCCGTCTTGAGGTTCGTCCAGAAATGGTTGACGATAGCGGTTGCAATAGCGGATGCTCGGTTGGTGCTTCCAGATACCAGTTCTCTCTTTTCTGCGCCAGCAGCCGCATAGGCGCCCGGGTCTAAAACCATGAGACAGAGTGCCATCAAAGGCCTGGTATACAACTCTTAAATGGATGTTAGAGACGGTCGAAGAGGGTTAGATGATTCAGATAATTACTAGTGCGGCGAGATAGGCGCGGTAAGTTCACGACCAATCGTTGAAACGTTTCCAGGGAGTGAGAGTGAATTTGGTTCGTCAAGTATTTACCGTGTTTGTTATCCAAATGACGAGAGTTTTTTGACAAATGGTGAGTGTCGCGATTATAAAAATGCCCGCCGGTAAAGAAGGCCTTCGCAGGCGAATACACTGCGTGGAATTGACCAGGTGGTTGTATACTTGAAAATGTCAGGCAAATTAATGAAATATCGCGGATTATGAACTTACAGAAGGTCCCCCTTTCCTACCGTGATGACTTCCATGTCCCACAGAGCGGCAATCTCGTCGCGGTTCTCGGGGAAAGTACCCAACAATCTGGCTGCCTTGGCGAACGATGTCTGAGAGATCGTGTCCTGATTTTTCAGGTTAGCCACGGTCCATTGTTTCGTGCCGACGACGCCATAAATAAAAGTGCAGCCGCCGTCCGCGTCGTGGTGAAAATAGGTAAACCAACCGGGCTTAGCCAGCAAACCCCACGAGCGTACGGTGAAGTTGTCGGGGTGAACTTGATGGCCGACGGGGCAATCATTGGTGGACTGATTCCATCCGTCGACGATGCCGCTGTCCAGGGAGCTAAAAAGACAAAGTTCAGAATGTCAATATGAGAGGACGGGATAAAGTGCACCTCAAGAAAAATGGGAGACCCCCTTGTGAGAGCGGAACATCTAGAATACACTGTATCTTGTTAGGGTCGTGTATGTTGCGCATAAATTGCTCAAGTGTTGCATGCTGCTGCGGATAGGTGAAATCTTTCGTACGTTGTTCCGCATCTGTTGGAACGCATGAGGTCGACAGGCAAATAGAGCGAATAAAAACGGACTGACCATGTATTACAACGCGCATTAGCTCTGACGCACCCCAATCATACAGGAGCTCGAGGTCAAGTTCGTCCGCGGTGGCCTGATCGCATTGACGAAGGACGACAGCTTTATTTTGGCAAAGCGCGGCGGTGATAATTTCGCGCAGCTCTCGTGGCTTCGAACGCCAGTCACTGTAGTGTAGATGAACCACGTATTTTGATGAATCCGGACAAGATTCAGGAAGTGCGGAGATATACGCGACCGCATCTGCGTCGCGTTGCAGTACGTTTTTACCGTCCTTGTAAATATACGGCAGCACGGTCGTTGTGCCACTTTGCCATGCGACTGTCGGCGAATTTTCGTGAACTTGCGAGCCGATTATGGGAGTTGCCAAGTCGAGGGACTCGATGTCAGTGAGATCGGACAAAGCTGGCGAGGGGGGTGACGGGTAACCGGGAAATGAGGGGGGATGATTCGGTGGGGAATCCGTCATGACACATACTTCGTGTGTGGTCACCGGTGAAGATGGTCGTGGAGTTTGCGATGGCGATGGTATGTCCGTCATGATGCATACGTCGCGCGTGGTGACTTCAGCATCCAGAGTTGGAGGGGGGGAAGTACGCGGAGGTTGAGCGTCGGGTTGTTGTAGCAGGGTGGGATCGATGAAGGTATCGTCGAATGAGACATGAGAAGAAGGCCCCGCGGTGTTCTCAGTGTTTAAAGGAACTTCTCCGCTAGCGTTCGAAGGACCCGCAGTGTTCTCGACGTTTTCGACGTCGTTGCGGTTAGGCTGGATCGCTCTAGATGATAGGACACGTCGCCGTTTTGGAGGAGGCTTGTCGCCAGCGTTTTCGAGTGCTCTCTGTTTCTGAGCTGCCCGCGAACGACGTTTGTTTGCGGTATTTTTCTCGCGTAGCCTTCGCTCTTCTGCGGGATCTTGTCTCTTGAAGTCTGTCCATCGTTTCTGCTGCTCGTACGCCTTGACCTTTGGATCTAGGCCCACCAGATCGGGATGATGAAGTCTCTGCTTAGACATTGTATGTCAACGAGGAATTACCCAGTTGAGATACAGCAGTCTGTGAAAAAGGTATGGAGAAGTCTCAGAGTTGTTAAAGAAGATCAACGGAGAAGGGGTAAGTGACGTTGAAGAACGGGAAAGGAATATATTTAAAATGGAAATGGCCGCGGTTTACATAAACAGAGAATGTCCACAGTTCGGTGCTCATTGTCAATACTCAGTACGATGAGCTTGGATGCGACCAAATTTACGAAAGGATCGATACGTTATAGGAGTTTATGTAAACATACTCTCATTGTTGTGACATGGATAAGGTCTTAAAAATCGCCAAAGAGTCTCAAAAGAGTCTCAGAAGAGTCTCGAAAGTCGCAAGAGTCTCACAATTTCAAAAGTCGTAAATGAGTTTACACAAGCCAGTGTTTTTCTTCTTCTTTTGGATCCTTGTTTATTGTCCTTTGGGGCGGGGTCCTATGATGGACACTACGTACAGTGATTATACTATTCTATGTGTATGTGCTTTGTCTTTGGGGTGTCGATGCTGTGCAATGGTCCGTGCTTAGGCAGGTGCCAGGGACAGTGACGCCGTCTTAAGGAGTGAAGTTAGTGTTACATGGTGCTCGTTCCTTTCCTTTCCCTCGCTCTCTCTCTTTCTCGTCTATTCGTCACATCTCCTTTGGGGGCTGACGTCGCCCAAGTTCTGTTCCATTCTTTTAGTGCGTGATGCCTCTGGCAACCCGTAAGTCGTTTTACATACTCATTTATATTCAATCATATCTGCTCAGGATGATGACGAAGCAGCTTGCTTTCCTTCTTGCGCGAATTCCCATCAAATGGCTGGGAGAGATATCGCCTTCCTTGTGACTGTCATGCACCCTCGCTTCCTCATTATGCTTGATGAGATCCTCGAGAACAAGCATGTGACTACTACGATAGATAGCCGGGTGCGAATAGGGCTATGTCTGATATAGGGTCTTCGACCCCAAACGACAATAAATCTGAATTTTTTAAAAAAGCCTGTGGCTATTCGCGTCGGTCAGGTGAGTTTACAGTTTTCCTCTTCCACATCCCCCATGGTGTATCCTTATTCGTTGCATAGGCTGTAGACGTCGGCCAAGCTGGCAAACAATGCACGATGTCAGGCTTCCAGACGCACCAGACTCCTGTACGACTGGGAACGACGAGCGCATGGAGTTGGCGATGGAGGAATTCATTCCATAAGCGCGTGTTCTAGAGGATATTACAGAAGAACCCTTGGTGGCAGAAGGAGGATACGATGTAGATGTAGGTATATCACATGCCGTTGTACGTGAAATTTTGGAAAACAGGATAGGATTTTACTACGAAAGGTGACGAGAAACACGAGGGGAACATTTTGTGAAACCTAGGAAAGCGAGTATTACCATTATCACGCAGGTGAATACTAGGAACCACCGATGAATTTAGTGATCATGAGTGACTAGAACTTTATGTGATAGTCCCAAGGGAAGCCCACTGGGAGCAGTCGAATGGGTAAGTTGTATTTTGGAGGTTGGACTCGGTAAGATTTCATCATGGCTTTTGACAGTTTCTTGAGATACCTGCGCATTGGCTTTGACGGCGAGCTTGGAGAATTCGGTGCCATGGGTTACTTGCGCGCAAACCGCGGGATGAAGGAGACACGATGCTGGCCCAATGCACACTGAGGTTATAGGGAGGTGGGGTCAAAAGAGTTGCAGGTGCGTTAACACATTCAACGCTTGCAACAAGTTTGCGGTTAGCCCGAAACGACAGGATGCTTTAGGCGAAAATGCCAAACCTAGTGGTCACTGACTGTGAGGATAGAGTACATTTTCAGCATTTCTTGTGGTTAACCACGACATATCTTTCCATACACCGGTTCTACTATGGGCAAAACGATAAACGATATATCACAGCGGACTACGCAGATATCGGCCAATGGCTGCATGCGCATGACTGCGATAGTCATGTGAAGCGGGCGCGTTTGGCCATCGGGACTTCGATGATCTCCACTTCATCACTGTCAGAATCATCCTTCAACACGCGTTTGTTGGCCTTGATGGATGCGATTGCGGGATTTATGGTGTACGTCTGAGATGTGCGTCCGAGACTCACAGCTTTGTCAACGCCGAAGAACATGACAGCCAATCGGAATGGTCCATACTGGCGATCAGCTAGACACGCCATGATCTCCCGATGTTTGGCAGCTACGGCCTCTGCTGAGAGCAACTTCCAATCCTGAAAGGGCGGACCGCCCTTCCAGACTCTGCCACTCATTGCTCTCAAAAGCCCCAAGCGCACTAGAAGGAGGGGACCAATCCCCTTTGCACTATTCTTCGAATTCCAGGACTTGGGGAAATTCTTGAGAGTGCGCGCATCACTATACTTGCGCAAGGGGCTTGTCTCGTCGTAGACTGCTAGGATGTAGGAAGGGACCATTGCAATGAACTGTTGCGGTAATTTGCAGCCTTTGCGGCCGCTAGCATTGGGCTTCCATGGGAGGGCGCGAATGGCATTTGTGAGAGCGACGTGGCCGGTGACGGTATGTGCTTTTGGCTTGTCAGAGATGGCCCAGAAGATATCAGGGATGATCCTGCTTATGTAAATGCCGGCAATGAGAGCAATTTGATGGAGCGGTTTTTTTATGTCGAAGTTGGCAAATACCCATTCATAAATTTCGCGCACGGTAGGTTCTTTGTCGTCCGAGGATGCGCCGTCCGCAAGGTCGATGTTGTCAAGTGAAAATTCATCGGGAAGACGGGATCGCAGGACATAATCCGGAAGCGACTGCAGGGTGATGGAGTCAGCTGACCATGCAGCCCTGGAATCCGCGGCCTGGGCTCGCTGGGATGCTTCGGCTGCTGCATTGTCCGCCTGGGTATGGTTGCGCTTGATAGCCTGCAAATCGACAGCTTTCCCTAGATTGACCCAGGAGTCAAAGACAGGCTTTCGGGACCGTCTGCCTCGAGATCCCGCTGGACGATGCCATGGAACATTGTTAATATGAAGATGGTTTGCAGCGACGATGAACGCATCGTGCAGGAACTTTTCGGCATGCGTCGGGGAATCATTGGGGGCATACTTGCGCATATGGGCCAGGGCGACGCGGAAGACGGGCATAGAACAGCCACCAGAGATGAGAGGAGCGGCAACAGGGGCAGGGTTGGTCTCTCTCGACATATTGCAGACAAGCCGGGCAAAATCATGAACAGAGAGCTTCACTTTGGTTGGATTTGGTAGTCCTTCGTGGTGATCCATGGATTTAGAATGCACGCATGAAACTAAATGCTCATATCCTTTGTCAGCGTAGCCGAGAGGATTAGCGGTTGCTAGCCACTTGCGGAGGCCTTTGCGGCGCACTGCCGCATGCCGTTCCACATCACCGCCATCCTCTGCCTCCACGACACTGCAGGCGGCATTGACAGCTTTGGTAACAAGTGTCTTGACATCGGCAATATACGCCTGGAGAGCAACCAATGCGATGACAATAGCATGGCGGAGGTTGCCAGGGTACCCAAGGAAAGCGTTGGAAGAGAGTTGATTCACAGAAAGTTGTATGTGAAACTCGGCCTTGTAAGCCTGGGAGACAAGCTGGATGAATGGCAGTACAGAGGCAGTCGATCCCAAACCACGAACCTCAAAGTGGTCATTGCCATATGTCAAAATTTGAGAGCGCTTGGAGGCTATGGCTGGGACTTTCATGCTGGTGAGAGTTGGCCAATCTGCAGGGCTGATGGCAACAGGAATAGATGGAGCTGCGGCGAAGCGCACGGAGGGAGAAAAAGTGGGCAGGCCATGTTCAAGGAGACTCTGGACCAACCACAAAGGCCTCATGAGACTCGTAGCGATTACCCTAGTATTTCCGGTGTGAGCATAAGCCAAAGCGCGCTCAAGCACTGAACAGAGTTCAATGACTTGGGGAGCGGGTTTGACACCTTTCTGAACGAGAGGGTAGAAATGATCCCAAATGCGCTCAAGCAAGGACGTAATGGGGTAGGTAGTCCACTGGTATATCTGGGGAAATGCCTGAAGATATGATATAGGGAAAGGAGCGCGGTGAGCATACGTGCATACCCACGAATAAGAGCAGCGCACGTCTGAAGTCAATACGAAAAGATGCGGACGGAGAGCCTGGAAGATGGTGGGATGAGACCAAGAGCTGGCTAAGGGTACCACCATCTCTCTATATATGGAGCTAAGGCAGAGGCATGTTGTCAGCACCACCGCAATGTATGGTGAGATATTAATATGATAACTCACGCTCCATTGCGCTTATGGCGCTTCAGGGAGTCTAGCTGAAAAATGTAAACGTTCTCCAAACGCAGAGCCCGAGGAACATCATTGACTTTAATTTTATTGTCGTAACGTTGATGAGGGAGATTGAGGCTGCATTCCCTCATCACAATGCGGTGCGTCGTCTGGCCATGACCGCGAGAGTAAGCACCTGAGAGGGCCGACGTGATGCGCCCTTGCTGGACATCGTGAAGATCAGCGGACGGTCTGATGCGGTGGGAGATCTCGTTGTAAAACTGTGAGCCACTGGCGAAGAGTACAGTGGGCAGGGGTCCATTAGGCAAGTGATCGAACTCGTCTGCATCATCTTCCGCAGGCTGGCCATTAAACGGATCATCATTTTGGTTGCGACTCAAGCGCGAAACAGAATTGCGAATTTTGGACATGAATGGAGAAAAATGAGGCAAGATGGTGTTGCATTGTATGTGACCATACTTTCGCAGGAATGCTTGAGGATACACGTTGACCGTAGGAGTACGAACATCATCGTCCAAAATGATATCTGGGTCGAGGGCCATGTCATCGTCATCAGGAATGAATGTTGAAAACAATTCGGTAATAGTCTCGAGATTGATTAGGACGCCGCACGGCTTGGTATTTCTGCTGCAGATACCATGAAAACGGGGGATGCGACGACCCTCTTCATCGTAAATATTGTTCTCCCTCTGAGTCTGGGGATCTCGAAGAGGCAGATCATCGAGATTGACAGGTTGTCGGAATGTTGGGTCCGGAGAATCATATATAATATTGTGCGACTCCAGAATCTCCTCGTTCGAAATCTCCTCCCAGCTACGCACTGGTTTACAGCTGGTCGTGATGTGAATGAGCTGGCAAGCACTTTGTCGAGACAATAGGATACACACGTCAGATCTGTCGCGATTGCCATAGAGAGATAGCGAATATTGGAGTATTCCCGCTCGACTTGCCAATTCCTCTCTTCAACACTACGGGCGTCGGGGTTTGAACTGGCGATCGGCTGGTTCTGTCCATAGCGACAAGCTACCGAGATAGGGACATGCGATTGCAGCCAGCCATCAACCTTCCATGAAAGTGGTGCCTCTTGAACCCATGTATCCCACTCTGAGACAATGTTTCGGTGAAGCGACTTGAGATCATCGAGACGAAGGGTGAGGGTGGGCGTAGCACTAAATGTATGCACACCAGTCAGTCATTGAATTAGGCGCATGCAGATCCGTAAATGAGACACAGTGCGAACTTACTAAAGGTTTGTGACATCCTTGATTTTCCACAACGAGAAATCCTCGTCGGTACCATACGTATGCATCAGGTGAATGTGCATATTAGGTATCTTTGCTAACGCATAGGCAATGAACATGACAGCCATGCGAAAGTGGCGGGAGGACAGCCGTGTGTCGCCATGCTTCTTTTCATTGAGCAAAGGAGCTTCATCAGCCACAGAGAGATCCTCGATGTTGACGAGGGGGCAAAATCCCAGCCAGAGCTCACAGGCACCGCCATTGCCCATTGCCATCATAGATCCCGTCGGGTCGAAACCTAGCTTCCCAAACTTGGGTCTGAATTGCTTGGTTTGTAAGCGGAAGTCCAGAGTAACGGTGAACGTGTGATCAGAAATTGTATTGGGAAGGAAAGCATCCAGGCCTATGGCACCCGAGACCACCAGAACAAAGTCGAGGAAATGTCTAGAGGCGTCCCACAGCAACCTGCCGTCGTCAGAGGCAAAGGTGAACTGGGTATCAATACGCAGGTTTGTGCGGCGCAGCAAGGAGCTTGCAGCACTAGCTTTGTCCTTCCTGCGAAACAACCTCTCGAAGGCAGAGAGGGACATGTTGCAGATGGGAGCCTGCTCCCATGTAGGACCAGTATTGTCTTGACCTTCACGAGCCAGGAATATACTATCGAACACCTCTCGTTGTTGCAGAGGGTCTTCCGACTCAACAGCCAAAGGGACTTCGTCTAGGTTGAACGGACCAGATTCATCGTCAGGATTTGACAAGAAGCCCTCGTCAATATCGAAACCATCGTCGCTGCTGCTGGATGTGAGTGCCATGAATCAGTGTGTAAAGCTGATTGCGGCAGACCAGCAACTTACCTGTCATCATCATGATGGGACATAGTGGTGGCGGTGGGCGGGTTAGCTTGCTAGATGCGAAAAATTGGAGGGATGGAGAGTTGGTTTGCTTCATTATTAAATAGATTCTCGATTGGTGCTGTGTGCGCGTCAGGGTCGATGGCGACCCACTCTATTCGGACTCGGACTCCACCGATTCAATGCCAATGAAATCAATCTATCGCGAGTGGAAGCGAACGAGACTGATTTATTACCAAACAGCTGAAGAGAATGGTCGCGATCTGCGCGCAGTGTCCATGATCAGGAGAACATCATCATCATTCTTGGGAGAGTGAGCACGACGCTGCAGGTCGAGCCTTGCGGCAGGGGGCAAGATGCGGCACAGTAGTACCGGGGGCCTTTGCCTGCGCGGGTGGCGCGTGCTCAGGCCTGAGGCCAGAGGTCTCATGGTTCTACATTAACGTTATTCGGAACCTCTGACGTATGGAGAGCGAATGCTAGCGGGAAGTACGTTAGCAAGGGCCTGCCTCAGAATGTTTGAGGCGTAAAAGTACGTACCTGCGCACAGCAGCGAGCCGCCAATCCGGTGAATGCCGATCTCGCGGATTGAGCATACATCTTCACTATGTCGTTCATTATCTTCCTGTAAGTGAATAACCCAGGTGGTATCAGCGTGGCAAGTAATGAAGTAATGGTCGATTTCCACCTGGATGGATTTGTGAACCACGGAGCTGTTTTTTACACTCAAAGGCACCTCAGCGACTCATCTATACTTGCCTCTCTAGGTCCGAGATGGTGAGATCAACCAATGAACCAACGCAGTCTGGCAGTCTCACTCCCTAGCGTTCATGTGATGGATTTGTCGGATTGCAGAAGTTTTCGTGGTTCTTCATCTGGCCAAGGGGTCCCTGCTTCCTTCACCATTACAATGTCTACTTCGGCAGCCGCATCGGAAAGCTGTTTCCGGGCCTCACGGCTGACGTGAGGGCAATTCATTACCGAAATAAAACCATCCAATTGCGAGGTGATGACCCTCATTGCCTCCGTCCGACATTTCTGGTATCCCCATGCGGTTGCTGCCTCGTGGGTCCATGCTGACTTATTCAGCCCGTGTGCAGAGAATAAACGGGCAAACGCCGGTTGTGTGATCATCTGGGCCTACGAATCAGGGGACACACAAACACCTTGATGGGGGCCTTGTCATAGGATGTGAGGTGGTACGACATTGATCTCCATTTTTCCACTGAGAAGGCTGGCGCTCTCATTGAGTGGTCATTTCACCGGCCAACTCCAGCGCGTCCAAGATGCACTCCCATCAGTCGGGTAGGCGACGAATCTCTATCCCTCCTTCCTGCGTAGGTCGTCCACGTTGACCCTCGCGAGCTCCTGTGACATGCGCGTGGACCCAGAAGGTGACTGCGAGACTCTGTTTCAAGACTGCCGGATTTCGCTGTAATGGAGGGTATCCTGACGCAGCTATCGTTGATGTACAGGTCAAGAAAGTCCCTATGCAGTCTAATACGCCTCTATCCAGACCTCGAGTGCTACTCACCACCGCAATCAAAGCAGCCACGCCCATCCAGCAGCCTAAATTCCGCAAGGAACCGAACGATGGGGTTCGGCAGAGAGCTTGAAAGAGTCGACGTCCGATTGGATGACTAGCTAGAAATTAGACGTCCGCAAGGTCTCGGAAGTAATTCAAACGCGGCTGGCATTCGACCGAACGACTAGATTGAAAATATCCGAAAGGAAGCGAGTCAAACGCAAGCGTTCGATAGAGGGCTTGAAAGAGTCTATATACAGTCGGATAACTGGCCAGAAATACTAGATGTCTAGAGGGACTCGGATGTAAACCAAACGCAAGCGTTCGATTGGATGACTGACTAGATACACACAATGATGGAAGTCAAACGCAAGCGTTCGACTGAGGGCTTGCAAGAGTCGACGTCCGATTGGATGACTAGCTTGAAATTACCAGCTAGATGTCCAGAATGATGCAAATCAAACAAAAGTAAGAACCACGAGAGTTTAACATTGATGTGACTATATTTGGAAATAATACGTGTATTGGGACTTTTGAGACTTTTGAGACTTGTGCGACTTTTGAGACATTCGCAACGGCCCTCCTGGCGATCATAATATATACCAGATCGTCTAAAAAAGTTGTGGTAAGAGCGCGACCAATTTCGACAGACAGGGTAGCAACGAAGATAAGATCGTAGATAATTGACGGCAAGATGGGCTGCAAACCTTTCGGCGGCGTACTACTATTACATCCTTGTCTGTATTGGAAGATCTCCGAGAGCGTCGCACCAACGTACGGCAGCATTCAATTCACGGCAACCTATCATGACGAACAAAGGGCAGTAGTATTGACCCCATCCCCCAGTCAAATTTTCGCCCGCCATCCTCCTCGCATCCCAAGTCCACCAACATCCCATTGGCCTTTATTTTGTCTAGCAGTTATGGGTCGACCAGATCTGTTTGGCTTTGTTATCTAGCAACTAATGCTAACAGGCGTCAACAACCGTTGAAAGTTGGCACTTACACCGATCGATCGGATTAAGTGATAAGATCCAGAGCCCTACTTCGAACTAAGCCTTGACATTTGTTAGATGTCTAGCCTCGGAGAATATCTTGACAGCGATCGGGATCCGGAGTCGTCTTATGCTGACTCCATCCATGATCACCATGATGATAAAGCTACCCCCAGTCCAGTCGAAGAAAGTAGCCACGACGAGTACACCCCCCCCAAGAAGAGTAGAACCTCCTCCACCCTCTACTCTACCACCGAAAGTCGCTCGGAAAGATTGATGAAGGCAATCTCTAACAGAACACACGATGAATTTCGGAAAATGTGTAAAGAAATTTACGGCGGTCCCGTCTGCCTCATCACGCAGGTGATGGACCAGGTCTGTACCGAAATGGCGTATGTCATACCACGAGCAACCCAATACAGTATGGTATGCAGTTCTATGATCTATGAGAAGCGTGACCCTAATGTTTCTTCAGGTAACGCTATACGAATATTGCCTTGGCTTAGAGTACAAAAGTTGGCATGTTGACACCAGGACAAACCTTTTTCCTCGTACGATACACCATGTCATCTTTTGTGAGATTGTAGCACTGACGTTAGTCCGCAGTCAGCCCCACTTGGCATTCGCTTTTTGATACTAAACAATGGCTTCTCCTGCCGGACGCAGCGACAATGAGAGACGTCCATAATCGTGTCAAGGCAGTTATCGAATGGAGGAAAAGTCCCGACTCTAAACCGGGATTCATACCCCTCCGGTCACAGGTACTTGCGATCATGTCCCTCATGATATTGCTAAATTTACTTTTCTGCAGTGGCCATCCAATACCAAAACACGATACAGTTTCATATCGACATCCTATACAGCCCAGCACTTCGCGCTCAAAAAGGATGGAGACATTGTTATTTGTCAACATCCTTTTTCCAACCTCCCGTTGCTCGAGTGTCACATCCTCCCTCCATATGCGGTAATAAATGCAGCTCAGAAGTTGAGCAGAGATCAGATCGATGGGATCGTTCGTGACCTTCATGCGGAACAGACAAAAGAGTTCGAGGAACTGAAACAGAGACTCACCCTCGTGTGTGATACTTGGGACCTTTTCATGGATGCTGAAGACGTAGCGAAGGCTTGGGAGAAGCCAGCAGTAGACTGAATGAGAGTATTAGCAGTTAGATAGAATGTTAATGAAAGTGTCTCACCTCAGTTGACTGTATAAGCAACTGAGGTGCGTTGAGGCCAGGCTCCTTCCCAGCCCCCGATTCGAGTGTGAAGGGGCGATATCTGAGGGCACTGTGTGATAAGTCACATGATACAAGAAAAATTCAAACCCAGCATAACCTTATTCCCCTCACACTCTCACACCTGAGACACAGCCGGAAAAGTCCTGTAAACAAATGTGATGTATATCCTGAGAAAAATCGTGCATATTTCAACCCATTTGACTGTTGTGCGAATGATGGACAGTTTCTGGATAAAGTCACAAATATGCATAAGGATCAAACTCTATTGATTAAATTCAGAGTAAATTTGGCAAAAGCAGAGGGAATTTGTTTCATAATCTGCATACCTCGAATATTAACCCCATTTCTAAAATTTAATCCCCGACTCTACGAAGTAGAGAGAGGGTTCTGTGGTACTCAATTGCCTAATTCTCTGCAAACGGGCTTGTCCCAAATTCCCATGATTCATTACTGGAATCCCACGCACGCAGTACCTCCTGGTGCACTGTTGAAAATTTCTCTTGTTCATTTGACACTCATTCTCGACCTCCTACTTTCTGCACTCTCGCTGCAGGAGCTCCTTGTTACTCTTGTCACTATTGGTTCCTCTGATGTGAGTATACCATTTTGTTCTGCTTGTTCTTGCTGAACATTCACCAGGACATTTATGCTGAAGGCTCCATGCTGAGCTGCTCAGGTGGTCGACGAGTGTGACTACCCACCACCTTTGATCTTGCATGACATTACCAAATACCCCATATACTATGATGCTCTTTATTATCTGCAATATCACTCTCATCACTTCGAAACCCCCGAAAATTTTTGTGCATGGCTGTTTAAATTGCTCATTTCTCATCGCCATTCTTGTCGCACTTGTTCCATAGATTTTCGTGGTTGTGTTGCATTCAATGGAGTATCGGTTGTCATTACGCATGGCCTTGTCTCTCTGCCCTTCTGTCCAAGTGAGTTTGAGGCTTCTGGTTATTGACACTGTGCGCTTCTCCGGCATTTGTCTTCGTGTACTCATGAAGGTGTGGTTTCCTCCCTTCCAACTAAGTATGATGATCTTCCTGCATGGATTGGTTATAATAAACAGACCATCGTGAATCAACTCTCGGGTCTTCTTCTATCTGTACTTTCCCAATCTACCTGATCACTTCCGGCGACCCATCTTAAGCTGCGGAAAAAGGTGGTTCATGTTGCTGTGATCATACAGCACTTTGTTCGCACCTGTTCAGTGTTTGCTAACTTGCCCCGTTCAGCTATTGATGAAACCCTTTCAGCTGTTATACTACCTGCCGCTTGTGAACACCACTTGGTACCTCTCTTGTCTGCTCACTTCCTTTCCATGTACAAAAACGAGGTAGCTGAGGCCCTTCAATGTCCTCCTCCCGGCTGTTATGTGTGTGGCTCACTTGATTGTTCTTGTGTCCCATGGTCTGCCCTACCAATTGAAGTGCTTGTCTGTCGTCTGTGCATGTTAACGGTGGACTAGGGCAGACACAGAAGAAAGCAGACTCTATGAGGATAGGTGTTGTGATGCTACTCTACAAACAGAGCTGACTGCGTAAGTCAGTGGCTGACTAAGCTAAGGAAATCGCTGAAGGGCTGCCTCTGGGCTATGAGTCTACTATCGCTTGAGAGGCTGCCTCTTAGTCTATGCCTTGGGACCCCTGGTCCATGCGCTCCCCTAAAAAACAACAGGCGCCGCCCTTGATGCCTTCTTCATCACTCTAATTCTTCATCCTCTCTATCTTCTTCTTCTTCTTCTTCTTCATCTTCGCTCCGCTCTTCCGTTTCTTTCTCTGTCTCTTCGTTCTGTCTTTGACTCTCTTCCATTGTGCTTTCTGTATCTCCGTTGTCTTCTTTCTCCTTGATCTTGCGCTCATACTCTTTTTGTTCTTTCCCTAGTTGTGTTCCCTCTCTTGGAGTGAAAGCTCTTAGCCATCTTGTGCTGAACTCTCCCTTGAGTGGGATTCCTTTGAGTGTTTCAAGCTTGTATGAATTGACGATTTTCATTTTTATGCGACATGGGACCGACCACTTTGGTATGAGCTTTCGTTCCGCTTTGAACGTATAATCTAAATCGCTGCGATAAACCTGAACTAGTTGACCAGTCTTGAATATAACCTCACCCGGTGCTCACTGTAACAGCCTTTTGTCGAACACTGCTTTTCTCTTGATTGCGTGTCTCACTACTTCATTGTAACCATCTAATCGTTGTTGTTCAATGTATGCGACTTGCATTAACATGTCCAAGGTGTGTATTGCTGGTGTTGACAACTAAACCTAAAAAGAGTTCCTTGGGGAAAAAATTTAGCGCTGGTAGCAATTGATAATTGAGAGCGTGGACTGCATCGTCTAGATGGTCTGACCATGACTTAGGCAGTGTGTCCCATGACATTTCTTGATCTTCTCCTATGTTTGGTGCGCATAGTCATTTCAGTACATGAAGCAGGAGCTTATTCGTCCCTTCTACTAGGCCATTGATCCATGGAGAGTATGCTGCGACGGTGTGTAGCTTGCATCTTCTTGCTTTGCAGAATATTCTCACTGCTTCGTTCTTGAAGTGCTTGCCTCCATCTGCCATAAACGTTTCCGGCGGTGTAAATGCGTTGAATATACTGCTAAGGCTCTCGATTGTCGTCTTCACGCTGCCTGATACTTTGAACTTGAATACCCAGACGTGTTGCGAGAATGTGTCTAGGTAAATGCCGAGCGTGTTGTATCTGTTCTTTCCCTTCAGGAGTGTTAGATAATCTCCAACTAACAATTCAAATGGGTGTCGCCTGGTTATTGGTTCAAGAAGTGAGTGTATGTGTGTAGGACCGAAATTTTTACACTTAGCGCAATCTCTGATAGCATCTAGAATTGACGTGTCTAGCTTGGGGCTGCATATTCAGTCTAGCAGGGCAATCTTGATTGCGTCTTGCCCCCAGTGACCTCCTTCTGTGTGTTCCTGCGCTGCTAATATTTTAGCTTCTTCTCTTGGGACGCACTCTACCTTTGCTCTTGCTCTTGTCAATGTGCCTCCTTGCAGTTTCCAGAGTTTCTCATCCTCAATGATGTATTGTTCTGCTCTGTGGCGTGCTCGGCGCTTCTCTCTGATGTCTGTGGCCTGGTCTAGGTTGTAGATAGCCTCTATGACCTCCTTGAACACCGGTTCATTCACGAATCCATAAGATTTTGAATTCCCGATCCTGAAGCAGCGAGGCCCCAAATGATCCCACCAGTAGTATTAGCAAGACTGATAATCAACACACCCTTCTCCTTTGCCTTCTACAGAATCTCCCTCATCTGGCGTTCTGGTTCACCTTTGGCGCTCAATGCAATGGCCTTGATACTTTTGTATCCCAAGCACTCCATCGTACTTGGGGTATTTCAATCTTCAAGAGAGGGGTATACAGGGAGAAGCGTTTCATGTGTGCCCCAGTAGAATTTCTGGGTGTGGTGCCCACCAATCATACCTGTCATAAAGGGTTGCACACACTTACAGCTGCAGTAAAAGTCCAATATTCCCTGGATGGCACATAGTTGGAGACCATAGACGAAGCTGTGGGTGTCTTCGTTGAATGGTCTGTATGCAGGCCTGGAGCGCTTAGTGCCGTTGTCAGAATTGAAATGGATGACAATATCACTGAGCTCAGTGCATTTGTTGTCTGCAGACTGCATGGATGGTTCTGATATCGCTGGCCATGGGCTTGGGAGCTGCAGGTGCGATCTTGGGGGAGCTGGGTGCAGTGGTGGGATGCTTGTGGGTGCTGTTGATCTATTTATTGGAGTCGAGTATATCTGGTCCCCATAGATGTTCCCTAGTGGAACACCCTATCAGATAGACCTTCATGCAAAAGTCACATCCACACACCTAACCTGCTTATAAGCTGCATACCGCTCACCATGAGACTTCGCAGGTGTGCACTCCTAGCATGGGCTGTCCACCTTGCCTTAGAATATTAGTTCTTAGTAACATACATCTCAAAATGCGGATTTGCTGAAAAGCCACTCACAAAGTGCTTGCGAGCATTTTAAATGTGGTTAGATCAGGTATGGTGTCCGTTGTGAAAGAGAAATAGCGACTAGGCTGTTAGAAACTAGCGCTACTTATCCAAATAGGCGCGAGTGTAGTATTTGTCCCAAGAGGACTGCTATTGAAGCAACTCCCTACTAATATGCAAGGAAGTGATAGCGCGAAGGACTAATAACCTAAGACCAAAAATCAATGACTAGCGCTATAGCAATCAGCGACAAGTGAGTTCCGACAGAGAAATGTGCGTATAAGTGAGAAGCACTATGCAAGTTGTTTTATGCGATAACGCTATGCGACGTCCGACTAGCGACAGCGAGAAGAAATCAAAGGGAGCGAAAGCGAGGAGTAAGGTAAGACAGTGCAAGTGAAATGCCTGGTAGCGACTAGATTGTAGCTCGACTACCGATAGTGATCCCAACATTGCGAAAGTCAAACTTATGAGGGACACTTTAGCGACGCGCACTTAAAGCAAGTCAAGCGACACACAATCAGAGACATTGGCAAGAGCGGAATCGATTGCACCAAGACTAGGATATAGCGACTAAAGTGACTCCGACACCAGCAAAGGTCCGGGTAAGGGAAGTACTGTACTGTATGTGCAACGGGTCATTTTATCATACTGCATAGAAGTTCGGGAGTGTGTAGGCAAGATTAGTAGCAACACTGGCGAGGGCATGATGTAGCGACAAGTAATAAGACATGCAGTGCAGCAGAACACGAGGATACATGTAATAAGACCTGTGACTGATGAGTAGCGACATTTAAGGAAAAATAATGCACCAGTGGAGGTAGGTGGACATAGGTAAGACATGGGAGGACAGAATACCTAGGCATCAGACTGGGCAGCGCGCTATGGGAGAACAGCGGTTCCAAAGTGGATAGCTTGGGAATGATAGTGCTGGTGACTAGCGCCTTACTCTTTTCCTCTAGGCAAGGCAGAATATGCCTATGACACTCATACGCGCCCAGCGCTGGTATGATTGTCACACCGTAACCATTCGTTTTTGGTTATGTTACACCCTGAAGACAGCTCAGCAGGTGATGACTGTACAGTGAAGATGTGTAGTCTGCGGACTTTGAAAGACTTAGTAGTTTTGTCTGCAAGTCACTGACAGGCTGGCAGCACCAGCCAAAGTCTACAATGTAAGTCTGCATCTCTCAGTTTACCCTGATATTAATCACAGAATCGGGCACATGCCTTTGCAGGTTATGTCCCAACTGCAAATTGAAAGAATTTCCATCCATTGAGGTGCTTATTCTGCATCTCAATTCCCATTCTACTTGTTGGCTGCCTGAAGTACGACCACAAGAATTACCTGTCCCTCCTGTATTCCGTCGAGATCCTGTTTCAAGTACCACCAGTACTTGTCATCCAAATTCCAGCTATGTCTTCAGTGTTGGTAAAAATATGCTCGACAGATTGGAAGACGATGAATATGCATACCGGTGAAAGATCAACCATTACTACCCTTTCCATGACGAAGGCGAATGGGAATTAGGGAAGTTCTTAGTTGAAAACCTCACTCAAATGCAAATTACTAAGTTTTTGAAGCTGAGATGGGTAAGTATGATTGTCCAAGCTATAGGTACAACTCTGATTGTATACAGTTTGACAATCACGCAAGATCATCTTTCACCACAAAAGATAGACTCTTGGACTGGATGGACTCGCTTCCTTGTTTTACAAAGTGGAAAGTCTCCAAAATGGAGTTTTCAGGTTACAAGACAGTCCATCCCATCGAACTCATTTGGCGCGATGCATTGGAGGTAGTCAAACAACTATTTAGTGATCCCATCTTTGCGAACCATATGACCTTCATCCCGCACCGTGTCGATGCCCGAGATCAATGTGAATATGGAGATTACATGAGCGCTGATATGGCCTGGAAAATCCAGGTTCGTTCATCATATTCATGTGTTCCTCACCGAGTCACAGAAAGACTTGCAATTTTCTGGGACCACCTCCCTGTTGGCGCAACCCAAGTTCCAATCATCCTGGGATCCAATAAAACTGCTGTCACGCGACTTACTGGGGGACTCAAGATGCACCTGATTTTCCTCACCATCGGTAATATTGATTTGGAGGTTCGCTCCAAAGCGACATTACGAGCTTGGTGCTGCGTTGCCTACATGCCGATCACAAAGTTCCGTGTGCATCCGGATTATCAGAGTATTCTCCAAGCATGGCTATGGCATAAATGTATGGACCTCATTTTTGCTAACCTCAAGGCTGTGGCAGCAGAGGGATGTTTCATGCCCGACCCTTTTAGATATATTCATTATGTTTTCATGCCACTCATTGCTCATGTATGCGACCTACCAGAGGCTACCATGATCGCTGCAGTCGCTAAAAATGCATCTCCTCTGACTATGTCGAGTGGGTTGGCATGCGCCACTTCGTGAAAGGCATCATGCATGTCAAGCAAATGACAGGTCATGAATACAAAGATATAGAATGCACTATTGTTGCATCAATTGCAGGTGCCATTTCACCTAGATTCATTTGCGCAATCCGCAGCCTCGTCGACTTTACGTATCTCGCACAGAATCCAGTTCATTCACCCCAATCACTCTGAGCAATGACACAGGCACTTTCGGATTTTCATTCTTTCAAGGATGCTATCATTGCAGTGGAAGCAAGGAAGGGGAAGAATGGCGTCAAAGAAGATTTCTTATCCCAAAACTTGACACACTGTAAGGAACTTTTCCCCCGGACGGCTCGGCAAAGCAAGGACTTTACCGAGCAGTGCGTTCATATTCTCAATCATCAAGAGTCCGCGGAAATATTTGACCTATACGCATTGCTGACTTCTTGCAGAGCGCCACTGGTCAATGCCATACATGCTGAAGATGAAGAGGTCGAAATCACTAATCCTGCCCTCTCCTGGGTTTCCCGCATACTTATATGGTCAAAACTGAAATAGGTTTCAAACTTTTGAAAAAACTTCTTTTTCTGGCCTGGTAAATATCATAGAGGGTACTTCCAGGATTGATATGAGCCAAGAATTAAAGAAATTGGTGGTTGGGTTGTGGAGATATGGTCGAAATACTGACTTTTTGACCTATCTACTGTATTTTAATATTATCTCAGTATGAATGTCTTCCATATGGTCCAGGACCATTACCAATCGATTCCTACACTTTATAAACCCTAGGACAGTTATTTTTAGTATCAGCCTCAAGTTAAAATCAAGCACAGCAAGATATATGAGGCAGGAGGGGGGAGGAGGACCTTGCATATCTCAAGAACATGATTTTTGCAGGGAAAACGGACTACACCATCATGATCCGATGGGTCAGGAGCCCCCATGACACATACTCCTGTAGTACTGGCAAGTCATGGGAAGTCTGTAAAAATCGATCTTTTGGGGGGGTATCAGGAAAACTGACATAATCTCTATTCAGACATGCTGGAAATACTCTGGGACCATCTCCAATCGATTTATGTGATCATAAAACACTAGGAACACCCTTTGATATATCGGTATTTACATAATATCAAGATATATGCTACAGGTGTGGGAGGGGGACCTTGCATATCTCAAGAACATGATTTTTTCTGGAAAATCTGGCTTGACCATCATGTTCAGAGGGATAAAAAACCCCCAGGAAGAATACTCCTGGAGGACTGGCAAGTCATGGGAGGTCTAGAAAAATAGATCTTTGCGTGGGGGTATCAGACAAGTTGACACATCACAATTCACACAGGCCAAAATGACTCTGAAACCATCTCTAATCAATTAATATGATCATAAAACATTGGGAACACCCTTTTATACATTGTATTGACATGAAATCATGCCTCTGGGCACAGTGGGTAGGGGGAGGGGGTGGCATGTCTCTGGAATATGATTTTTTCATACCAAACTAGTGCTGCCATCAGAATCATATGACTCAATAACCCCAGAAACAAGTTCTATTTGAAGCCAGGCATGTCATATCAAGGCTGAAAAAATCAATTCAGTGAAGCAGCATGACAGGGGTGGCACTGCTTACATAAGCAAAAGCGGTCAACTTGAACATAGGTGGGCAACTTTGGAACATTGACTTTGATAGATCAAATTGTTGCTGCTGCTGACTTGTCACCCTTTTATGAGGATCCCATGCTTTTTGACTTTGTGCTTCTGAGGGCTTTGGTTGTTGGTTCAACCCCTTCAGGGGGATCACACTTTTTGTTGGTGTCACCCTCTATGAGGGTCAAACCATTGTTAATAGTACCAACAAGTTCCACTTCTGGGGGCATTTTAGACTTTGTGATTCAGAGGGGTATTGTTAGTGGAGAATTGTCTTTGTGCACAAGCCTATTCAAAGACCCTTTAGGTCGAATATTTTCTGCTCAGACATTGCAGCCAGGTATAGCAGAGACCAAACTTTGGAAGATTATAGTCCATTGTCTCATTCTTGTATTACCCTCAGCTAGTGCTGCCGTGGTCCGGTTTGGTCCGGTTCATAGAGGGTTGAGCAAGAACCGAGAACCGAACCTCGAACTGGACCTTTGCGAACGGTTCAAAATGGTCAGGTCCGGTTTTTTTTCGGTTCGAACGTGAACCGAACCCAATTTTTTTTACAGCTACCAAAAAAAACATAGACAGAGTATTTGTACGAATAGCTACATGTCCAACGAAGCTGCGTGTCCCTCAGCCTCTACTGCTGCAGAAAGGTGCCCATTCCAATATGCTCCCTTCAACAACTGTAACACCGTGAATGTGGAGGTTCCCATGCGAGATGAATGCTGCCAGCTTTCGGAACAGGTGTCCGTCCGCCATTTAGATAGCGTGTTTGTTGAATCATGATACTATCACCTGATTCGGAATGCACAATCAATGGGTAATGCACAATGCACTTCAGAGCTCACAACTCAACACATATTTCATTCAGAACAGCCGTAGAACAAGTATTAGCATATTCTCAATAAACCTACCAATTCAAAATTTTAAAATCGACGCTGTGGAGCCTTCCCAAGATGAAACATTGCGCAAGTGTACCCACAATGAGTGATTTTTGGACACTAAAATGAAGATCCACCCAGATCCCATTAACCTATCAACATAGAAACTTCAACATATATAAAATACACCATTCTGAATCTACTCCAGGTGTTTTTATGTCAATAGACCGACAGCGCAGCGTGCTATTCACAATTCATGAGTGCAGCGTGACAGTCAGGCTAAATCAGGAAATCACACTTGTCGGCTTGGTTGAGTCTCCGCTTTGTTGCATTTGGCAGAATCGGTGGCATTGTCAAACGGTGTGGCTTTGAGCGCTGTCGGACTTTAGATACTCTTGTGTATTGGCATGTATTGGCTGTGGTGCCGCGCGTGACATAGCGTGACGAAATTGTGCATTTCTATTGTGTTTTCGACATCTCAACTTCCACTGCTGCCGCTGCAACAAGCTCGCAACAAAATAAAAAAAATCTTGTTGGGCCTAATGCGCAGAGACCTAAGGTATACACTACAGTAGATCCAATATGAATGTGTGTTGTCGTTGTGTTGCTATTCAGCAATGAGTGTAAATTGTGCATTTCCCGTCAAATGATAGTAATAGAGGAGGTATCACAATTAAGGAGCACCGCAGCTTCTTTGGGGGATAATTCTGGATTTGCCAGGTTACGGAGAACCATGTCAACATATATGCATGTAGATACTGCTCATGGAGAGAAATTCGTGCCATCTTTGCTTGCAAGTTGTTAATCGATGACAAGCGGTAACTTAGTACTATGTATTGTGTATTATATAATCTGCGTCTGCGCAAACTGGGGGGTTGTAAGCATAAGCACGGATAAGCATAAACCGTAAGCTCCCAGGTGTGAGTTCCCCTAATGCATCGCGTGGTTTCTTTGTCAGCTATGGTTCAATTCTGCTTGGCACTTTGGTGACCGTACCTGGCCATGGTGATTCCTTGAATCTTCGATTCCGATTTCCCGACACATGCCGCCACCTCCCCATCCGGGCCACCGCCACTGGCCAGCTCCAGCGCCTTCAGAATCGCTGGTGCTGTCCTCAGTAGTTGCCAGCTTCCCCAGGCCACACCTTCCACTGGCCTTCTGCACCTTGCGCTGCTCTCCTGCGTCATCTGTCAGCAGCTTCCTGCACCGTGGCCCACCTGCCCTCACAACTCACTTCAATGCCCAGGTTTGGACCCAAGTTTCAGGCCGGAAAAGCCCTACGGGCTTTTCGCCCATGTACTCAGCAACTGTCTTGTGTCACCTTACTTTGTATCTCATGATGTCCTCCGCAGTATCAATACCATTCATGCTCGGAGTTGTGTTTCTCAAGTTAATAACATTTTCTCCCTTAGAGGCCGCATAGACCTACCCCACCCGACAAATGCCACCCAGCCTTACTCTTGAAGATTTGTAAATGAAACTTTGTTTAGAATACCAGTTCAAGGCCATTCAATTTGTTTTTTTATGTATGACATTAACTGAGCGCAGCATGTTTGAACTGCTTCTACGGTAGGAGGTTTGTTCTAGTCACCATCAAATTATGACGATGCATGTCTCCAGCGCTGTGTCTGTAACACTTTTTCATTAAATACGATAAAGTGCCAAAGTATTCTATGCTTCAGCTCTAGATGCAGCAAGTTAGGCTCAGATGACATTGTAAATATTTACAGTAAGATACTTTGACGAGGCAAACTTGCAAAGGATTCCAGGAAGGTATTAGTCATGCACTAACATTCATTAGTGACAACCATCTTGTTTAGAAGAGTCGATGTCCTTCATTTTGGTCCACATATCTTGGCAGTATTGACTTATTAAGTGTCCTCTTAACTTGCTCTCAATAACTGACTTACATTTTCGAACCGCTGCGCATCTTTGGCTACTATGAATAAATCTCCAACCTCTGAGTCTGTCAGCTTCCTAGCATCTGTTACATTGAGGTCGAAGAAGTCAGGCAAAGTGTTCATTGGAGGTGTCTACTCTTAAGGTGCGTCATGGTGGCCTATCCATTATCATCTGTCCACTAATGATATATTTTAGTGTTGGTGTTCAGTCCATCTGCGCTTCGGTTGTGACTCGTTGGTCTATCCATGGCAGCTGTTCCCACTGCTGTATGTATCAAGAGGGCATGTGTTGCAGGGAGGGTTGGATGCAGGTGGTGGGGCGCACATTGTGTTGACGAATTAGAGAGCAGGGAGGTTTGCAGTTTGCTGAGGTGTTGCACTGATGGTGTGTTTTGCACTTAAACCGTGTGTCCGAGCCATTGATCACCCATGCTGCCTAGGGCACTCTTCCAGGAGTCCCATCCCTACCTCCAGCACCCTCTCACTATGTTCAGAACCCTCCCGCTACCTATCACTACTTCTCCCACTACCTGTTCCTCTCGTTCGTTTTTGTAGCCTCATCTGATCAATATAACACTGTGCTCCACTCGTGCCTGACAATATACTGTTTCAAGTTTCAAACCACTGCATAGATTGCTGTGAACATAATACAAGTAACAAGTGAGATATGGTGAGCTCATCGTCACCAACAATGAGCGTGGCTGTGTCACATAATATGTGCTTCATGGCGTTAGCAATAGGTAAGGCCACCATTGGAGCTCGAGATCCATTTGCGATGCTATCTAGATTTGCCTAACTAGTTTGTCCAATGAAGCATCTTTGACAAGCAAATATACGGGGGGCAGGCCCAGGCAGCGAGGCATGACAGGTCTGCTAGTTAGCACATTGTTATGCATCATAATCAATGCCAATGAGCAACGTTAATGCATGAGTTACCTCTTCTTATTAACAGACTTAATGCATTATACACCCAGGGACTGGTGCAGACGATGACAACGTCCTTCTTGACCTATTTTATTCATATTTGGACAGCACTGCTTAACAATCACCTCCCTCGTCACCTTGCCCGCCCTCAGAAGCCTCATTCACATCAATGGTATATCCTTCCCGGACGTCTGGGTCCTTCACTACGATACCAAGCATAACTTCTAGTTCCTGTGTTCGGCATGGACCACAATGATTATGTCGTGCAATATTTTTGTTCGGGCGTCAAGGCGTTGATGGCAACTGCAGACAGTTACATAAATTAAATCAACGCCAAGGTAGGGTCTAGACAATTATACAGGCTACACGCCTCGGAATAGACTAGGATCCTTGTCTCGTTTCCGTGGTGATTATGGGGAGCTCAAAGTTAAAATGCCCAACACTGAGCAGGACCCATGAGAACCCCTTTGGAACCCAGGTCGGTTGAGGCCCAAACTTGTCCGGACACATTTTGAGGATTTTTGTCCGGATGCCGTCCTGGGTCCACCTGAGGGGTGAATTTTGTCCGGACTCTGACCCAGGTTACCAAAAAAATCTCAAAAAATGTGTTTTTCTTATTCTAAGTAGCTAGGTGTGTTTAGAATAGCCAAAAAGAATCAAAAATCGCCTTCTTCATCCCTCTGTGTGGCCCCATTCCTCGAAGTCCTCTTGCGGAACAATTTGGCAGCTTCCGCCAACTGAGGCAAAGCAGTTGATAGGATATCGAAGTCCGTGAGGTCTGCAGGTGCAAGTTCGAGTACCGAGTGCGTTAGGTTGGGCTTAGATGAAAGTAGACAGAGAAAGGCAGTAGAAGGAAGGAAGGCACAGTGGTTGCATTGGAACATGGCGGTTGCATCAGGAATGGAACGAAAATGACGATGAAAATGTTGCTGGTAGATTTGGACGCCAAGGTACGAGACACCAGCAATAGTGTCTGCTTTGTCAACAGCAGCGTGTTTGCCGTTTTTACCGCCACCTTTCGAGTATATTGCAATCACTGAGACTGTGTCAGCGATTACAATGACATAGTAGCACAAACTCACCTCGGCTGATGCGAAGGCCCCACTCCGTGTATACAATCGCAAAGTCATCAACTTTGAGGGGACGGAGTGTGGATATACGCGCATCATCGAGAGACCCCAGGAGTGGCAATTTTGCCGTTTTGAAAATGTTCTTCCTGCGAATGATAGCCTGATAAACAGAGTCAGCGTACAATGTCTAAATATATTGACACACTGACCTTCTTTACTACTTCCTTTGCCGCGAGAGCTGCGTTTGTCACATTCCCTGTCTCTGGGAGTTGTCCAGTACTTCCCGTCCAGCGAGCAGCACGTTCAAGGCCCGATCCAGTTGCATGGTTTTGCTGTTCTTTGAGGACAGCCTGAAACTCCAGAATAAGGCGACGACACTCTGAAATCGACTATCTAGAGCAATTGCGGCAAACGTTAGTCGGAGAAGTTCATTTTTTTGTCTTTCGGTTCGACGAGAGTCTCCATCGGTGTCCTCAGCTAGCCTGACAAGTGTCTCGAGTTCTTCTGCCTCATCCCCTTCATCCACATCTCCATCCTCGTCACTGCCAAAGTCGAGATCCACCCCCGTATCCTTGTCAGCCCCCAGCTTGGTGTGGAAATGCTCGATTCCTGGCAACACGGTCTGCTGAGTTTGGGCGAGGAGTGCCGGACTAAGACCACACAACACCAGTAGACATTGCGACTCGTTGCTGCTTCCAGTGAAGCTTCGTAAATGTCCACATCATCAGGATACTTTGAGAGCTCTGGGATGTTAACACCACGATCGTAAAAATATGTTATCGTGTACCCTTGGGCACGAGCTTTAAAGTCAGGTGACTGTTGTCGCAGAACCTCCTGTTGCAGTTTAGCATGAAGCTTCGTAACAGTGTAATAGGCATCCAGCATCATAAAATCCTTGACGATCTTGCGGAGATTAGCAAAACAGTGCTCGCAAGGTTCGCTTGTGTGTAGCCATGGGAGAAGAGGGTGATCACCAGATATATGGTCACGATAGACCACAATCAACCCAACCAGACCATCGATTAGCCTCGCTGTGATGTCAATTGACTTGCGCGACATGAAATATTGAGTTTCTTTGTAGACAACCCTCTCCAGATATGTACGCCAGCCATCATAGAAGTAGCGTGCGCGAAGAACCATTTTGATGCGTTCCCGGTGAGGAATAGCTCGGTTTTGATATGTGTCAACGATCTCTCCATGAACAAAAAGACAAACAATCTCTCCAACATCATCAGGATGATGGTCAATGAGAAATTCTAAGGTTGCTGATGAAAACAGGCTTGCAGCTGCGTTGTCATCCTGACGATCGAGCTTTTCAACGTCCCGATGGTATAATGGAGTGCCGTCTTCGAATGCCATGGCTCAGATGCGAGAGTACTGAGCTGTATAGTTTCCGAGGGTAAGAAGTCGAGCACCTGAAAAAAGATTGTTACGGAATGTCTTCAAGCCGTGCTTTGGGTCCTGAATGTTGACTATAGCCTGGCCATAGAGAACAGGAATTGAGATCTTGATGGTGCTTAATCCAGGAGCCGGACTTGCAATTTCGTAAGAGATAACACATTCTGCTTGGCATTCCTGCAGTTGGGGTGGGTTTTTGCTGGGCACATTTCTTCATGACGTGCTCACGAAACCTTGAAACATCGTAGGGCTCCTTATTCTTCATTGTGCGTCCACAATTTGAATGATGGACTGTTTGGCAATCATCGTCTGCTATGGCATCCTTGTCAAGCTCGAGAATCTTGGTTTTCCATGTTGCCTTTTTCCTGGGACAAGGCTCAGAGGTGCCACTCCTGGCAGCCATACGCAGGTCACGTGAAGCTGTTGCAGATCGACTTATCCCCACTGCTGGACCCGATTGTAGTTTCACGACCTTTGCCTTCTTTGCCACCTTCCCTCCACTTCTATCTTTTGATCCCAAGTCTGCCTTTGAAAGTGGTCGCTTGTCCCCAACCGTCGGCACTTGCTTCAACCAACTCAGCAGACTTCCTCGTGACAAATATGCCTCTACGGCGTTGTGTACCCTTGTATCAGTGCTCTCAGCAGCAAGGACTTTACTGGAGGCCGTCGGCTCATGAGATTGTAGTGCGGGACCAGATATATGGGTGTCAGGCTGATTATTGAGAATGAATGACAGGGATATTTTTTTCGACCATCGAGGACTGCTGCTCAACCTTTTTTGGCAACTTTTCAGCTTGGATAGAACTTTCGAGCACAATATCTGGTAAGTCATCTTCATCCATCGGCACGTCTTCGTTCATGTTGGTGAGCTGATGCTTTGAAAGACAGCTACGTCAGCACACCACATTGACGAAAATCAGCGGAGTCAGTACTGACATTGTTCAAGTACTCTTTTGCCAAGGTAATAAACCACATTGCATGGGCACTCGAACGTTTCTTCGGCTCCCATAGCTCATCTCCGAGTGCACCGTGTGCGATGGTATTCGCCGTTACAATTCCGCAGGAGAATGTGTCATTCTGCATTGCGTGTTCTAAACCCACATTATCCACTGTTAAAGGGTCTCCAAATGCATCTCGGAGCCATTGCTGCAGTCGATGCACAAAGTCGAGAGGATACGGGATTTTTCCTTTTAACGAGTCTCCTGTTCATCCGCTGGTCAGTTATCGTGCCTTATCTTGTGCAAAACCAACATACCAATAGAAATTGTTTTCGCATCGAAGTCTACTCCAGCTGCAATCCAATGGTTTCCCTGTACGTGAAGTGGGAAAAATAGCTTTTGATAGTTGAGGCTAACAATCTGAGTGTGGTAGCACTCGAGGAGTGGTATCTTTACCGAAGAACGACAGATATATTAGTGGTAGTCAGAGTGAACGATTATGAAGCAATTCTGTGTGTGATTATGAGACGATTCAAAATTCGAAAATCGCATGAAAATCGCCATCCACTTTGAACACCCCGCAGCGAGAACGGATTCTCAACGCGATTCTGGTTGGATTCGTAAATAGGTATGTATACTAAAACTGACAGTTCCTAAGGTGAGTTATACATATGTTTTAAGTATCTGTTTTCTGATACATTTCACGCACTTGATATTATTGATCATGGTTGTGCTTTTTTGAGCTTTCCAAGTCAATGGAGATGCCTGTCGGACGCCTGCTTGCGGAATAAGTCTATTTAATTAGACATTTGTATTGTAAAATAAGAGGGGTACAGCTAAAATCCGATTCTCAGCGTCCAAAATCGTTTTCTGAATCGCAGGCCAAATCACCTCAAAATCATCCACTCTGACTACCACTATTTACAAATATGCTCAAAGCTACGCAAATCGTGAATTTCACATATATTTAGAAAGTTGACGTGCGTTATGTTTGATCAACACAACACAAAAACACCATTTTGTCGATGTCTTGCACATTTGCAGACATATTAATCAATCAAGATGACGTGAATTACTCGTTCGTGCTGCTTTTGACTTGGTAAGCGTATACGAAATGATCGATTGCACGAATTTAAGCAAGACTCCGACATTCTCACTAGTCCACCATCTTTCTCCCTCAAACCATGACGATGTCTAGTCCAGGAGCCTCTCCCACTTCCTTACTTTCGGAAGCACCCTGGGGCCTGACATGTTCTCGTTTACAGTAGTCGTTGGACCAGACAGGCCTCAAATTGATGATGTTTTTGGATGAACAGTGGTAAAGCTCCCTGTGTGTATCTTCTCCGACTTTGATATTTTCAATAACCTAATTCGAGATGTTTTCTAGGATACTATCTATGCAGCCTGTTTCTCTGCACTGCCTGGCTCGCAAATCAGTAAGTGACTCAGATACGCCTAACTTGTTTCGAATGTTCGCTGAAACATCTATTATAGTGCATATATGCGCATGAATATCTTATCTAAGTGCAAGATAGTGCTGACTTGAGACACGCAGCACAAAGCTTTCTGAATGAACATGCATCACTGAGTCTGACCCGAAGCCCCCAGTATCCACTGTCACTGGTCTACCATGCCACCTTCAACACTGGGTCCTCTTTGTCCGTGCCTGTGCATCACCTAGATCTAGTATTTCGAACAAATAGGAGGTACGTCAATCTAGAAGACTAGAACTTCCAGCAACATCTGACTTTAGGCTTATATTAACTTGCAACACGATCAATGTCATCAGCAAATTCTCATCCGACGCCTAATATATTAGTTGACATCTAACGCAGTTGCAGCGGAGCAGGTGGGTAGCAGGTAGTTATTATTTCACGGCATTAATTTATGTTTGCAGGCATATGAATCCGAATGGAACAGCAACACAGTCGACATCCAGCGCAGGTGCAGAGGTTGACATCAGGCAGGCAACAGGCAAGGACCAGGTGGGCAGCAGGTGCCAGGGGTAGTATCAACCAGCTATCATTTTCGCGCTGTCATTTGCTTGTTCTTGCAATACATATCAGCGTCGTTTTCGTGCAATTTCCGTAGTTTTATTGCCTGGTATGAGTACATGTACAGTTGATAATCTACGATCATCGACGGAAATATCATATGCATGAATCAGCGCGAAATCGTGAGATCTCCGTCGAACAGCATCGCTAGAAAATCTCATATATGTCCCATTCTCTACGGAAATATATGGAAATCTTGTGTTCCTGGTTCATCAATATTTTGGCCGTTTTCCGCGATATGGTGAGGTCCGGTTCTCACTGGGAGTGCTGAGCGCTCGACCTCATGACCGAAATGAGTAAGTACATGCGAGTTTTCAAACTCCGCGAGATCGTTGTGGTGTGTGAACCGCACGTGATGACATGTTTAAAGATTCGCGTTTAGCCTTTGATTCCTTCACCATTCACCATTTAGTACATACTATTACCGTCGCTGTTGTTCCTTATGGGAACAGTTGGGCCGTGGGCTCTGGCGTTGCGTTTCCGTTGAGACTCGCAGTCCAGCAATGTCGTTGACGTTTGACTGCGAGTCTTTGTCCTCTGTCTTTATGTTCGAATCATTACTTTGAGCTTTCACCATTTCCATTACCTTCGCTGTCGTTCCTTATGGGAACAGTTGGGCCGTGGGCTCTGGCGCTGTGTTTCTGTTCTCACAATCCGGTAATGTCGTTGACGATTGGCCACGAGCCTGTTTGCTCTTTCTTCATCCTTCCTCATCTCATCATCTCCTGTGCTCAAAATCTATCTATTTATCTATCATAATAAAATCGCTAACATCATGCGCATTAGTGACGAACGACGTGATAAACGTTCCACACTCTCAGATCTAGCACTTGCCCAAGCGCTTCTATATGTTGACCGTTGACTTCTCACGCGCCTGAGAAGTCCGTACCACTTATACCCGGTGATCCAGTTTTCATACTCTCCCAGCTCTCTAACACGTTCACATCAACGTAGCTGTCGTTGACATTGCCATTCCATCTTCGTCGGACATGTATCCCAAGACACGTTCCACGTTGCTTGCTGCTAGGTTTGAACACGTACGGTATTGCAGTGGCGCGGGCGTTACACGTCCCTCCAACGTTTGTTGCCTCCATTGTTCCTGATGTTGCCGTCAAACAAGTGGCTGTTTCATTTTCTGTTTAGTGGCTTACTGTCCCTCTGGATGATCTCGCCGCCTGGAAATTTTGAGCTGGGATGCAATACATGGAGCCATCCGCGGATTGGCACGCTGTTATCACTCACTATACGATTTGCGTCCACATCGCAAGTCTTGCAATGGGCTGGCACACCATATCTGCTAACATGCTATTCAATCTCTCGTCCATTGGCGTGCATGCGATCTGCGACATTTCTTGGCCCAACATCCTTTCCCTATTTCTACCACACTTTCACGCGGATATCCTCTCCACCATTCTCGATCACGGATTCGGCGCTTGTGTTATTGCCCGCATATCCGAGGAGCTACCTCCCTTTAGCCAAACGCAAAATCAACCCAGTAGAAAACTAGCAGCTCACCAACGCCACTGGCCTGCTGTTCCTCAAAATGTGATACTTGAGTGCCTGAATCAGTACGTACAAGAGACAGTACTGATATTGCGGTACTTCGTGACGACCTGCTCTGCATATCGAACATAGCGCGACGCTCTGCGAAGATATCGAACAATACTCAATCGTGCTTTTCACAATTGGTGCACCCGCACTTCTTCATGCACTGAAACCTGCGAAAGCCTTCTTTACTCGTGCACACGCCCCACCACAGTTAACCTTAGGTGGTCTTCCGATGCTCCACCGCTGCAAACTCTCGTACAGGGAGCAAGCCAATGGTTTATGGTAATTGACGATACTTCTTTGACTGTGGTATATTGCACGTACGGTCGACATCGGTCGTTTCCCCCCAAAAAACAACAATAAATAGGGTTTAAAATTGAAGCCAGCACTGAGTCTTATGAAATAGCAGTAGTAAACGTAAGGAGCCCAATTGTGAGTAATTCGAGGCATGGCTCATTTGTCAGCTGGGTACTTATGTAAACAATGTATGTAGACAAGAATATTGAGCGCTTATATGTCTGTATGCTACATCCATAATACATTCATACTGCTATCCTACCATGATTCCTTCAGAGCAGCCAGTGGTGGAGGAAAATGCTTTGCAGATAATGGAGAAGATAATCGATTGCGGAATCCTTGAATCGAGCCCGCTGGGGTGGAGGGTCGCAAGAACTCGTACGGTCAATGATGTGTCCGATGATGGGTGGAATACGGAAGATGATGATGTCGAGTTACAGGCAGCCATTCTCAGTTGTGGAATTTTGGAGGCATCGTTGCATTGTAGGACAGAAGATAAATGTCCGCGGGCAAGTCCAAAAAAGAAGGTTGTCAAACCAAAAGCCGATCGTGAGTCCATGAATCACCAACTCTTACATGTATATCAATAAGGATCAGGAGGAGGAACAAATCAGAAGCAAGTATTTGCTATGCAGGAAGTGGAATCCTTGACTCAGATTCTGCAACCTAATCGTGGAAAATGTACCGTTCATGCCACTATGGACCCAATCCTTGAGGAACCACTAGTCATACAGCAGGGGGATAATTCACCTCGAAATATACATGCTGCCCCTGTCAAGTGGAGGGGTGCAAAGTCTTATCAAGATCCAACAAGTGATCAGCGTTATGACGAGGGAACGACTATAGATGAAGATACGTGCACCGAACTCCAGGCTGCCATAGCAGCATGTGGGATTTTAAACGATGGGGAAGCTGCAAATGGAAGGAAGGTCACGTTATGCAAGCAGCCCAATGAAGCGAAGCGACAGTGGGGACGGCCAACAACACGACCTGTGAGACAACAGGATAAACATAGGTTCATTAATCCATACCGTCCACATATGTGATTGATTATACACATGTACCAAAGATGCGATGACATCAGCCGGAATCCTGAATCGGGATCCTTATGGATCTAGGGGTGAGCGCCCTCATCAGTATGCAGGAAATGGTCTACTGGATGAGGAAGGAATGACTGCAGATGTCAATATCACTGAACTACAGGCTGCCATAGCAGCCTGTGGAATTTTGGATGATGGTGCCATTGCACATGGACGGAATGCCGCGGTGGAGAAGCAACGGAATGGAACTAAGCGTCAGTGGGGAAGGCCAAAGAAAAAATGGGTGAGACAACAGGATAATCGTAAGTGCTGTTCATCCTCACCATTGACACGTCGTTAATTGTGGAGTCATTCCACTCAGGAGATATTGAGGCAATGCATATAAACGGTCAGGGTGAGGCACAGAACCGCATAAATGGTGGTGGAGGTCAGGTCCTCCACGCCAGTATTCGTGCAGTTCCTGTTAGACCTGTGAAGCCACCGAATACCGCTAAGCGACAGCGGGGAAGGCCAAAGAAACGAGCGACGAGACAAAAACAAAATAGTAGGTCCATTAAAATACCATCATGGTGGAATATCGAGTCGGTCTACTCAGGAAACATTGATATAGACGGTGAGAATGAGACACAAACTCGCACCATTGATGGTGAACGACCGGTGGTCCATGCTATCATCGGGTGAGAACCTGGTCAGCTGCCAGCACAACTACAAGATGCAGATGCTATCACACCAGATAAAAACGATAGAGGTGCGATTGCAATACACACTGTTATGACGATAGAAGAAGATGTGGTTGATGGTTGTGCAGACACAGAGCCCAGACATGGCAGTGAATGCCCTGAGGGATTGTCAGGACGTCGAGCCTTTTCAGGTGTGTTTCAGATATCAGGGAATTTCCAAGTCATGTTGAATGTAATTTCAAGCGATGGTGGTCATCATGTCCCAGGGGGGGCACGATCATGTTCCAGATGACAACACTATGGAGGGCAACCACGAAAACAAAGCCGGAGAGAGTGAGCACCATAATTCTGTTGGTGTGCACCATATATCTGATTGATCACTTGACATACTTGATTTGTCCACGTACCGTTATCACACGCAGGATATGACGCAGATGATGACTACCGACCAACATCCATGCCGCCTCATGAAGATACACGATCCATTTCACCTCAGAGGGTTCATACTCCACCGATGATACTCAGTCCGGAAGACATTGCATGTGAGTGCTGCTTTCTACACGACGACTGTCATATGACTATATCAAAAACCACAGCTCAGGCGATGGCGCGACCAGGGCGATGGATGGATGTTGTTGAAAATATCCCCACGCTCAGGGTAGACACATGGCTGGATTCACAGGTTGCCAACTACTATCTGGCTCATGCCTGGTATGATAGGCTGGGACGAGTCAAAGTCAGATTTGTCGACATGTTCGCTGCTGGTGGGACAACCCAATGGACTGATGAAGAACTGGAGCTCTTCAGGATGGATCACTTTGTCCCTAGTGACGGTCCGTGTCCGATGATCCCTGTGGGATTCATAGTTCATTGTATCAATCACTTTTTTGTGGTTATATTTGACTACCATCGACGTACGGCGCACGTCCTCAGTCGCTTCATGTCAACAGAGGGGATAGCTGTGGCGACAGGCGGTGGAAAAAGATCCAAATGACTGGAATGCCTGGAATGGGCCTCAACGTTGGGAAAGTATTGCAACACTCCATGGTTGGAGGGCAGGACGCTCTGAGGATGTTCAAATAATCCCCAAAAACTGGATCCAAAATGGAGTTGACTGCGGTCCGATAGCTTGCTCGGTACTAGAGCAAGCTCTCAGCTTTGGGCTGGATGATCATGGCGATCTCCCTCTGCAATCATTTCATATACCATGCGGTCACATACTGCGGATAGCTATGTTGAAAGTTGTTGCAGGTCGAATCAAGAAGAGCTGCAGTGACTACTTGATGCTCCGCGATGAACTCCAAGCTGATATGTGGCACCACATTTACCTAAGCGACGATGACATTCACGCCATCGAGACTGGACAGCATCAGGCCAGATGTGTAACCATGCTTCATGCTTTGTATGTCGCCAGTGCAACATGCGAGAACTGCCACCGCTCCCCTGCACTCCAAGTCATCCAAACTCCAACCAGTACCAATCGGCATGTAGAAGGCGATTACACTCATTATTCCACCTCTGACATCGACGAAGAGGGTGACAACGAAGCAGACAATCAATTCCCGGGAGACATGGTCTCTGATACTCGGAAGGCGAATCTTTTGAAGCTGTTGAAATCGAATAAGGAATTGGCTGGGTCACGCGATCGCAATGCTATATCTCCACATGCTGTTGGAACACATATCCCAGTGGCTCCTGATGAAAATCCTGAACTCGGTAACACAGCGGATTCACAGAGGTCTGCATTCACCAGAGCTTCTCGCAAAAGGGTCTCAACTTGGAGTCAGGGGGTCATGGAGCGATTCCCTCGTCCAACTACAGCGGTGCCACTGCCGGCCTACATGGGACGCAGATGGTTGATGGACGACAGGACATTCGATGATTATGAGGGTGGCCCTACCATAGAGATGTTAATGGCTCCTGTTGATGTCCAGCCAACCATGGTATACCATTCTGTGGGGATGGAGATGTCTGCGGGGTGGACAGCCTGGGTCGACCATGGATACAGGATCAGGCCAAGTTCATTCCAAATGTTTTATCAATGCCGGCCCATCGTCACCATGGACTACATCATGCCAATCGGTACCACCGAACTCTATGACCCCTCAAACCAGGTTCCCGATCATGTGACAGGCAGATATAGCTTGGATAGGTCAGGGTCCAACAATAATGTAGATGTAAATGATGTCATCTGCATGTCAGCTTCTGAGATGATCCGATTGGCACAAGATGATCCACCTCTCGACCGGCATTCTGTGTCTGGACACGAGATCTTTCTGTGTGGCCGCACTAGTTTTTCAGATGGTGCCAAATACATATGCGTCGATCTAGAACGAGACGCTGTCGATGTTGATGAACGCGACATCGAGGTCTCTGTGGACATAGACAGCATCATCTGGGTTACCAGTGAATTCCGAATCAAGGGAACCATCGGAATTTATATGACGCCGCTCTTTCAGTCACGGCCAGGGATCTTCAAGCACAATCACACATCCATCGATATACTGATTCCCCAGTCAGAAGAGGATTCAAATGCGCCTGGAGGCAGGACAGAGTGGCTATCCAAGCGGTTCAACATGTCGGCCATCCCCCACATTTGCATTGGACGCATCTCCAGCGCCTCATCGATTCTAAACATATACCTGATGTTCCCTCGAATGATCCATCAACACCCAGTCAATGGTAGATCAATCACATTAATTCCGCAGGACATTGTACACATATTCTATGACATGGTCCTACTCCCATCTATCAGCCACTCCAGCGACGTCAGCTGGGAGCCTTACCTAAAGCAAACCCTTGAGGAGGCAAGATACAAGAACAGGGGTGCTGCTGGTCGTTCAGGCGGACGTGGAGCTCCAAAAACCATTCCTCTGTCTAATGATGACTTTATAAAGGTCCAAAAACGGATGCACGAGATCATCGCAGATGGACTCAAGCAGTTGAGCATGTATGGCTCATGTTTCTTTGTGCTCGAGGGGAAAGGAATCAAGCTCCTCACAAAGGACGGCCAGAGAGGTTAATATAGTGGGCCAGAAGAAGCACTGATTCGAAACATTCCAGACCTTGATTGGAATCATATGCAGGATAGGACACACGGGGAGTTGTTGGTCGACGTGGGTGTGTCATTTACACCATGTGAATTAACTGTTCCCATGGTTGGCGTTTGGAGATTAGATGCCTTGGAAGCCTCATTTGGAGCAGGGGGGTACAAACAAGGAGAGATGCATCATCATAACACACTCTCCCAATACGGTGCAATACAGGCCGAGATGCAACAGGAGAGAGCTCATCAGACACATGTCGCATTCAGGAGCGCGTACAACCTATACTACGAAGCTGTGCGGACTACCAGCAATGAAGTGAGCTTCGCTGCTGACAGCGATGCTTACAAATTGTCTCCATCATACATGGTGGAATGCTCTGAGATCACGAAGATTTTGACTGGGTGCAAGAGAAAGACCTATGGAGTTTGGGACGAGTACAGAGTCAGTGGAAAGGCTGCCACAATGATTTAGATGAGATTACTTCAAAGGTGAGCAATCTACAGGCTCGCACCTTGGCGCAACACTAATTACCATACACCAAGGTGGAAGAGTACGTACGATCTCAGCCGATACTATGGATACCATCCAAGGTATGGTTCGAGTTCATCACGAGGCGAGTGCGGGAGATTCAGAGGACTCAAATCGCCATTGTTAAGAAAAACCCACCAAACCTGGGTGTCCTCACTGGCATCCTTAATCATATGCTCCGGGCCACGACATCAACTCCTATCGTCTTTGACAGTCACGTGCGAGAGTCTCTCGCTCTGATCAATTATAAGACAGTGTTAGAGACTGCAGGCATGCTGTTCCTCCAAGAGTTTGACATTTCCAGCACGACATGCCTGGACGAGGTGCAGCAGGTCGATGATGTACATGTACTCGCTCTGATGGGGGTAAATGCAAAGGCGCAGAGAGACAGGGCAATTGGAAAAGCGGTTGAATGTAGAGATGTCGATTCAGAACCGGAGGAGTTTCCCATTGGCAGGACACCATCATGGAGACGTCTGAAGGCCGCCATAGAAAACATTCCGGCGGTAATCATGAGGCATTGGACATGGCCTGCGATGCTTTCCAACACCTCACTATCAGTCGAACGGATCTTTATAATGTTCACCAGGCAGATATGGCTGATGCCCATAGATGGCGTGTTTAAGGGGATCAGGCCATACCCTACATCGCTTCAGGACGCAATGAGGTGTTGGACGGTAACAAGCGTGGACGATACCCTTGCGTCTGTCACTTTCGAAGCCTGCAATGTCGGAATACAAAACCGTGTGGGAATTACTCCAGGTCGCATGGGTCCTAGGGCCAAATCGTTGCTAATAGATCCGCAATTTATTTTCCGGCGCCAAATGCAGCAAAGAAGGATGGTTCACAATGGGATCAGATGTGGAAAGGAGAGGGATATATTGCTGCTTATCACCAGATTCTGGGTGAAATGGAAGAGACACGACGATCAGCGCTCCGCAACGAACTACGCGAAGTCTTTTCCAACCTCCATTGCCTCCCTGCAAGCAGTGGGGCTCAGGTCTGGAAGGTCAGACAATCAGCAGCAGTATTCGTCACCAACCCGGTATTCTATAAGATGGACTGCCTCAGGAACCCGGATAATAACAGAACGAGACAGACTACGATCCATCGTCCAATCAAGATTCTCAAAGGGAAACGTGTATTTGCAGCGGACCTCATAGACTCAACACATTTCGATTCCCGTGGGAATATTAAATTGCAGACTGACAGGCAAAAACGTCGAAGCCTGATGAAAAAGATTACGATGACAAACAAGAACAAGAGGATGCCTCCCCCACCACGTGCTCGGAAAATCAGGCCATTTCCCTTGGCTAGAGAAAAAGAGTTGAATGTAATGAGTTGAAAGAGGTAGACGAAGACATACAAATGCCATATCATTATACAAGGACACCCTTCGGGTGGCTCTTACAACATAAACATGATGCTTACAGTAGTAACTCAGGAAATAATGTATCAACAGAATCCTGTCTGTTGTTTGTGTCAGCAGTTAGAATAGTTGGTGGATTATGGAGCGTGGACGACGTGGAGGGATTTCAGTTAGCCAAGTGAATACAGCAAAATCAGATATAAGAATGTGAACGCTTGGGTATTTCGACCGCGCCCATGTAGGAATTTAAATGCTGAAATGGCTATCAGATCATGTCCTAACAATTTAACAATGTTGACATGTCACCACCCGGTGGACAATTGTACCCAACCGAAGGAACAATGAGCTGGAAGAGATGGTGTTCGGCCTTGGTGTGGACCGGAAGCACAGCGAAAAGTATGCCCTGCTGCTCAGCAAGATGAGCATGACGTATCTTCATTTCCCTGGCAAACCCAACATCATGAGGGCGCCAGTTGTACTGAATACGGACTGAGGATGGACCGACTCGCAGTATGGTAGCACACCAAAAGAACATCCGCACACTGATAGTCGTTGCCATTAACCCACTGTCCACGTCCAGGTGACTGGTTCTCGTGAAACGCGCCCTCAGTTGTGTCGATCAGATAGGCAACCACATTTTTGAGCGGGACACCAAAGTGACCAATGTAACTTCTGCCCGTCCAATTCTCCATTCCAACCTTGAGTGGATTTCGTCGGCTTGGCAGCAACGTGCAAGACAAGTACCAGAAAGACCTACACAAATGTTGTGGGACACAGCATAATCGAGCAAGAGATTTGTAGCATGGCGGGGAGAAACATCCATTGAGGTAAACCGTCTGATCAAGTTATGGTGCACACCACCTTCAACTGAGTTCGTTCCTCGGCAGCATCTGTACAGCTGAAGGCCATTCTTGTCACTGCCTATGCTGTAGTATAGCTGCAGACCTGGAGGATCAGAGTTATATCCACAGCGTATGTTTTCAAGGACGTTCTCTGCAACTTCCTGTGCCTTCTCATTGAACAGCGGGTGCCTTGATATGGAATATCTCAGCGCACCATAGGACTTGATGACAGATTTGATGCGAGGTAGCATTATCTGCGGTGAGGGCATGTGTCTTCTGACCCGCCGGAGCACCCAGTCTGGATGTGAGCGGAGTGATGCATCGAATGTAATGCCGGACCTTTGAAAGACTTGTTCGAGAACATTGCTGCACTGATGGCCCTAAAAATGGACGGTGTAGGCCGTGCTGCATAGTAATCGGAAACTGGTGATACAAATGCCAAGGGTCTCCAAGGGCACGTGAAAGTGTCAGATGCTCCAGTGATGGGTCAAAATCGTCATACTGAAGCAGCAGCTTGCACAGTGCTGCGAGCGTCTTCTTGCGACATGACAATGTCCTGCTCAGCAACCATGAGCTGTGGATCCGATTCATCTTCCACGCTGCCTGCATCTGGACCCGGTCTGAGTGAGAATTTTTATTTTATTTGCTTCAGATTGAGTCCTTTAGGGTCGTAGACCCTATATTGGACATTTCTCGTCATAAGCTTCTTTCTCATGTTTGGGGTTCGGTGGACAGGCACGGAGTGATGATTCGTCGATGGGAAGACCGGGAGCATCGTGTGAGGCACCTGACGACCATGACCCTGCTCACTCGAAAGGTGATTCCACGTTTCGAGTCTTCATGTGCCGAGCAGCACAGACGATAGTGAATGGGATTGTGCCCATCGTGGAGAGTGCTGTTGCCTTGCGGGAGTTACAGAGGCTCGCAGGAAGTAGATATCCTGATGCAACAACCTCGGTAATGACCATGGGAACCCTCGTCATTGTGACATTGACACCATTGATCTGAGCTGGTCGGTCAAGTGCAACAGCACCGTGGGCAACTGGTTTATCATCAGTCGAGTGAGAGAGTGACTGGTGTCCCTCCGGAAGTTGCAGGTGAGATAGCTGTGGAGCTGCGAGGGTATATAGTGTGTCGTGGACTTGCAGTGTGGCGAAGGCATCATTGACTGCGTGATGGAGAAATACTTTTGACAACTCCTTGTTTGCCCAATGAGGGCCGACACGAACTACAGGATCGTGTTGCAAACTACGGCGAAGCACAGTTGTCACAAGCTCAGGTAGGCCGATCGATGAACGCTTCGCTACATTACGCTCGACAGCCATGATCCCCAGCTCAATGTGCCCTTTCAGCTTGTCTGCAATATCAAGTCCGCAGTCACCCTGCAACTTTTTGAATGCTGCCCCGATACGTATTCCAACCTTCGTTTACACAGGTTATTGGAGGAATGTTAAGAACGAGTGAGGCAAAGCAAGGTGATTGTCTTGAATGAAGGGAAGAGTCTAGAGATATTCGAGATTCAGTACATGGCCCATTTTCTCTGCAGCTGCCATGGCACACCTGGATGAGATAGACAGTGGACTCATGAGCTATCTGAATGAGTGCTACACGCCCGTGGATACCAGAGGTCACATCGATAGGCCGATTCCAACGACAATAGGGTGCGAGTCATCGTGAATTGCCATTATGTTGTCAATACGGAGATCGACTTGAGTCGTGTTGGTGAGATGCACGGTCCGCCAGGAGCCTGGCACTCGAAACAGCTCGAGGGTGCTGCTATTGGGGACAGGGACCACGCTCTGAAGGAGGGAAGGGAACCATTGCTGGTATGCGAGCCGGTCTGCTCGCAGAGTCTGTATAGACTGCTTCGGTGGGGGTATGGCCGAACATTTTCGCAGCAGCAACCACAGCACGCAGCACTGGACCGATCTGTTCATGCCCCTTGTTCTGAGTGATAACTATGCTCACGATCTCACTATACTCGTTCACTGTGGTATGTAGTCCATCAAAGGACTTCACGCCACACACCCGTCCGAACAGTTGCATGACCTAGATATTGACATGAGCTAAGAGCAAAATAATGCAAGGAAAGCACCAGCCTTGAGAGCCAGATGGGCATGCTCGACCGTGGAACGAACCTCATGAGTGGCACATTACTCGATGTGGGCATGGCATCATCAGGCTCCCTTCGAAAATCCACATCCGAGTCCTCATCTTCATCAGCATCATCCACGTCATCAACCGGGATGGTCTCTGTGGCACGAAAGAGGTCCGAGTCATATGGGTTTTCAAGCAGAGCGCCTGTTCCACAGTACTGTATTAGCGCACAGCAAGAAAACTCGGGCGGGAAAGACTCACTGTCCAAGGCATCACGGTCCGTACCACAGTTCTTTCTAGATGGAATGGAGGAACTGCGCTCTGGCTGTTTCCCTTTCGCCAGGGATGTCAATGTGGGCTGGGGATTTTCATTTGCGAGAGGAAAGGTTGTTTGTGGTGCTGACAGTTGCGCACGCTCGTCAGAGAGATGGATGCGATTGGGGGGGTGGGGGGTGGATGTGCAACTGCTGCGTCGATGGCAGGACAGGTGCTGCAGCCTGCAAGTGAGATGCCTCGATATCTAAATTGAACATGGTCAGGCGCTGGTGAAGTTTGATAACCGGATCACGCACCCATTAATACTTTACCCGTTGATGCGGAGACGTTATCCATTGTTCCAGGGATCCGTCCGTCCTTTCGTGGGGAGGCGACCGATAGTGCCAGGCTTATTCTTGCTCCGTTTTGGTCGTCCGCGTTTCCGCCGTTCGGAGTCCATGTTGACAAGTGTGAGCACAGACAAAAAATAAGGGGAGAGAGCGCACTGGTGAGTAGTTGCTCTTCACAAAAAACACACGCAGCTCGAAGGGCACAGACGTTCGAGATAGCTCGTCGAACCAGACAACGTTCACTAAGTCCGAAAAGGCAAAGGTGGGAAATGCGTCCCGCCTCTTCGGCAACTCGAACTGCAATGTTAAGATTATCCCATGCAAGCAGAAAGGGATGCGATTTTGCAATTTCGTTGAGCCTCTTTGCTCGCTCTTCCCCATCTTCTTAATTGTACGTATAGCTTTCGTGTATGAAAATGTCATACCGCATGATGTAGGTCATCGAACATTGAACGGGAAGCCCCACACGCCAGCAAGTACACATACATCATTGTCTGATACCCATTGCTTTGTTCATTGCGGGCTTGTGCAAGCATGCAAATTACAGTGACAACAACCTATTAACACACGTTAGCTATGTAAAGAGTGGTCAAATGCAAGGAATACAGACAAGGTCTCGGTCTCGCCGTTCTGATGTGAGGCGAAATCCATGTTAATATGACGGAGGAAGGTACAAACAGTTAGAGCAAGCTTCTCGGCCTCGACAAGAATTCTCTCGAGCGGCCAACTGCTCAAAAGCTCAGACACTTCTTGACCTGAAGGCGGATGCAGGAATGCAGCAAGCTTCTTGCCCACGTTAATAAGCAGCCGTGAAGCAGTGCTTGTGGCCCATGAATCGGTGATGCGAGGTTGCCGACTACGTATCCCAAAGTGCGTGAGATATGAGCCAGTGTTGCTGATCGGTCTTTGCATCATCTCCACTAAGAATTCTGAAAGTGAGCCAAAACCTGCATCTTTGATGCCCCGCAATGCATTGCCTAGACGTGCTGCATGCTCTTCATGGGCTCTTCTTAACGCAGTTGAGCGGCAGCTGCGTCTTGCAACTTTCTTTCTGAAACGAGGCGAGCTTGCTCTGCTGCCATTTGAAGATCACAATACAGCAATGTTGCAGGTGCCTGGATATCAACATTTATGAAGAATCAAGTAGTACTTAACAAATACGTGGATTGAGACAAGGATGGTCAGCTGGACTGATGAAGCATTGCAGTAAACCAATCCTAGGTAATCAGCTGACTACATGTGATACTGAAGACAATGCATACTTACATCTTCATCCTTCTTGGACGGGTGACCAGGATTAGATGCACTCGTCGTGTCGGAGTCGCTGATCAACTGTGATGCTTCTAAATGGATGGCAGGCATGAACAGGGATGTTGACACCACCACATTACTAATCATGTACCCACATCCGCGTCAGCGGCTGCCGTTTCAGGAGACATGCGCTCGGATCCAGCCTTGAAACCTGACCCATGAACAGGCTCACTCAAAGAACCAGCAGCGCCTTC